TGATTGGTGCGGATGGGACGGATAGTGAGGTCGGGAAGGAAAAAGTGGGATTTTTGAGGAGGAACGAAAAGTTGCGTGGCAGGTGATGCGACTGCGCGTAGCGGGGGTGGGGGGAAAAGGTGGGGAGGGGGAAAGACGGAGCGGTGTGAGGACTTAAAGACGAAAGGTTGCAGGTAACGAAGCGAAAGACCAGGAAAAGAAGTGGAGGGATACAAACGGGGGAGTGCTGTGCTGTGCTGTGCTGTGACGGATGGATTCTGCTTTCTGTGCTGAGGGAGACGGACGTGCGGGGGGAAGCAGCGTGCGTGCTACAATGGGTAGAAAAAGGAAAAGGGCAGAATGAGGAAGGTCAAGTACAAGAACTTAAAGCAGTCCGAGTGCAAGTGTCGTGAAAGCAAGTGGCCCGCATGCCACTCTGCACACGGCCCGATCGGCCAGCGGTCCCGGTCCCGAGGCCCGTCAGCCTGCCAGCGCAGCGTAAACCCTAAGTCGAGTTGCTGAGCTGGACAAACGCCGCCCCCTCCCACTGGCCCCGCAGCTGAGCATCCCGTTCACACGTCGCACACCTGGATGGCCGCCACGCCCGTAGACACTTGGCGCAAGTGCGCTGGACAACATTCTCGCGTGTGTTCGCTGTAAGCCTCGCTGCAAGCCCGCCCCCCAGCCCCCGCGCGCTCCCCCACCGATGTGCCTTCACGCGCCCCTTTGCGCGGCAGCAGGAAGCCGTTCAAATCTTCAGCGCGCCTGCAAATCACAATCCTGGTCACGAGCCACAGCGACGCCAGGTGTGGCACCTCATCCCTTCCGCCCTTCCGCCCCTCCCCCACTAAAAGTCTTAAAACTCAGTCAACTTGAGGACTGTTGATGTCAACATCTGCAGTCCTCTACACAGTCCTGTTGACAGGACTGTGTAGAGGACTGTGTAGAGGACTGCAGAGGTGTGGAGGTCAGCAAAGCCCTTCCCCGGCCTCCTCGACACGGCAATCAACACTTCGATACCATTGTCAGCTGCGCACGAGATGCGCACGAGATGCGCACGAGATGCCCCTCGCTGCGTATCGGCCCCGCCTGCACACCGACCCCCTCTGCGCTGTCAAACGCGCCGTACGGTCCGCGGCAACCCCGCCGACCCCTGCCGCCTTTTCCTCCGTGCCCCTTCCAGGCATGCTGCAGGCCTGCACTCCGATATCCGACTTGCACGCCGCTGCATGCAGTCGCCGGCAACTCCAGCGCATCACAAGTTCCACAGCTCAATTCAGCAGCCCCGCTTGCCACGCCGTGAAAACCCCCTCCAGCGAACACGTCGCTGCGTCCGTACAAAAAAAATGTCACAACGACGCGGCAGGCATCTGCACCACCACATATCGTCATCCGATCCCTTGGCACCATTACATGATACGTTGCAACTAAATTATCCGACGCCTCCGCAAATATACTGTAATAATATCTTAGCCGCCCTTCTTTCGGAAGGCCTCCCCCCTCCTTCCCAAAAAAAACACTTCCGACGCCCACGGGCCACACGCTAATTGGTCCGGCCCACGTCACCATGGCACGTGTGAGTCGTTTCCCATAACCGCACTCCCTGGTCTCCCTCTAATGACACGCGTGGATAGCTGCCGCCGAGCCACCTCCTTCGACTTCATTCTTCTTCCTTTACAACATCTTCCAACATCTATACACTCCCCGTCTGTTAGCCACTCTCCACCTCCTTATCCCTCCCCCCTTGCTCCGATAAAAATTCCGCCCCTGACATCCACCGTAAAGCCGTATCCGTCCCACACTCCTTCACCACAATCCCGAGCCCCACAAACCCTTTCCTCATTCGCGGCATGTGCTCCGCGAAATCGAGCCCCTCCCCTCCGATCAGCCTTTGTTCCACCATTCCCGACCTTGCTATCCTCCCTTCACAGAGGCCAATCACCTCCGATCGATCCTGCCCTGCTCTCTGCATGCTCCGCTGCACGCTCCACAGCCGCATCACCTGCGACCCGATACAGTTGTAACCGCGCAACTCCGCCACTTGCCACCACCGCTCCGTCTCGTTTAGCCGCTTCACCGTTGAGTGCACGGCTGTGCATATGTCCGACGCAGACCTTGTGTCTGATGCAAAGTGCCCGTGCGTTTGGTGCAAGCTCAACCCTCCGTTCACTCGCTCACCAACCTCCATACATTCCGATATCGTCCGTTCGCATAGAAGACCACGCCCGAGCCAATACTTCCGCCCGCTGCCTTCTCGCCCACCCCTTCCGCTTGCCGGTGAGCCCTCCGTTTCATGCTGACCACTACGCTCTTCCCATATCCTTGCTACTCTTCTTCTCATTTCATCCTGCCCTCCACCAGTCTCTTGGGAAGGAATTCCACCCAGATCCGCCACGCCAACCTCCCCCAGTACTCTTCCCGCTCTTAAATAATCCCCGTCGCCAACCCACTTCCCATTGCTCGCTCGAAATGCCAGTCCCATCGCTTGCGCCCTCTCCTGCCTATTCATCGATATTGCAAGCGGCACCTTCGAAATTTCCTGCTTCAAATCGAGCCCATCCACCGCAGGTCTGCCACCTTGCATCATTTGAATCGCCTGCATTGCGGCCGCTATTCTCGCCATCTCAATGGAAAAGTGTGACGCAACAGCCAGCAACTCCCCCTCCTTCACCCCCTCCACACCTCTTCCCCCCTTCCTCAATACCACCGCCGCATAATATACCGGCGACGCCAATCTTGCCCCCTCCGCACATGGCTCCATATCGAACACTCCGCACTGCACCCTCCTGCCCGCTCCCTCTTCTACCCCCTTCTCCAACCCAATCGACTCCACTTCCCAACTAGGTGCCCCTGTCCACTTTTCCACCTCTTTCACCAGCATTCCCTGATACTCTTTCAACCCCGCGTTCGCCTTCTGCACCACCAGCGGCCTCTCCATAAGCGTGGTGCTTACAAACGCCCTCGCCGCCTCATATCCCCCGTCCAAATACACCGCAGCCGCTACTGCCTCGTACGCGGCTGCCAGCGCATTGACCTCGCGATTGACGGCAATTCCCGTAGCCAAGTCGACGCCCCTGTCATCCAATCTCCCGCGATGCGCCGCGGGCGGCATCGGCTTCTCCCAGCGGATGAGCTCCTCCAGTCCAATCTCTCTAGCGACGGCGGCCAGCCCGCGGTTCGCCACGAGCGACGCGACGATCGACGTGGCACCGAACCGCGTCGACCACGGCTCGAGGCTGTCCACTCTCGGCGCACCGCCCTCGCCTTGCTCGCGCAGCCAGTCGTGCACCGTGGCCGCCACGCACGTGCCCAGCACCCGGTCGCCGAGTAGCTCGAGCGTGTTCGGGCCCAGCGAGCGCTTGGGCGCCCGGAGGACTCGCTCCGCCCAGTTCGACATGCTCGGGTGTGTGAGGGCGCGCAGGAGGAGGGGGTAGCTCTTGAAGTTGGAAACACCCCAGGTGCGCAGCCGCGACTGCAGATGTAGGATATCGGCTTCGGAGGCGCGCAGTACTTGCGAGACGTCGATGTTGCCGATGCGACGCAGACCGAGGGCGGACGGCATAGTGCGGGGATTTGGAAGCGCACGAAGGAGACGTCAGGAATTTGGGGAGGCGGGTGTTGGCCTCGGGCACGAAAAAGCGGGCGGGAGAGAAGAGGAGTGGGAAGTGGGAAAGCGAAGGCTCGTCTGTCGACCACGACGGCGGAGAGGGGGAACAGTTGGACGAAGAGGGACGGAAAAAGAGGGGATCAGTGAGGTGGTGAATTGTGTACACGTGTTAGACATGGTGAAGTAGGCAGTTTTGAAAAAAAATTACAGCTGTAAAAGGATGTAGAATTACAGTGGTATATGCATTGCAATGCCTCGATGTGGACAGTTGCACCGTTTCGAATCATTTCATGCAATGATCCGAGATCCGGAGATTGTTCCCGGACGCGTGCTTGTCAAGCCTTGATTGGTGCCTACAATTTAAACGCGACACTTAAAACCTGGAGCCATGGTGGAGCCATGGGGGCACCCGGATTTTGTTCGTCCTACTCTTTGGCATTGCGACGCCAGCACGTCATTTTTAAAGAGACCGCTGTGACTTGGTGCGAGTTGTTGCTCAATGCCGACCTTTCCTATCTTCTTCCAAACACCCCCCGCCCTCAGTTGTATTTCGTCCGCATCACCGTCTTCATGCGCAAGAGCCATTGCTTAGCGCTAGCCATCCAATATGTTGCAGACAGTATCGCCGCGGCTTCGACCAATTCGAGCGCTCTGGCGGTACCATCTAGTACCGCCATGACCCGTCATCCGTGAATTTATGTCAGCCAACTCGTTGTGCGCAACACTCAAGTGACATCGAGTCTTTTATCTCTACTCTCACACACCTAACCTCTATCAACCACCCCCGCCAACGCTCGACACAATGTGCTTGCTCAAGCTATCACTTGCACCGATTTCGCCAGCATGGAAATGCAGCTACTAGTCCTATGACACCAAGGATGCCAAGCACTACTATTTCTACGACTCATTTGACAATCTCATGATTATATGACGCGATCAACTTCGAAGCCGTATCGCTACCGTTCAGACACATCTTGAAACAACGTATGTTGTGTCAAACCGTCGCCCAAATCCGTTGAAAGTCGATCCCATACACCACGTGTAAGCCCCCATGTCCGGGAATACTACCCTGTCTCCTACGTCAAGTATTGGCAGTTTCCCAACCCAAATCCGATCTATTGCATCGCAAGTAGGCCCAAAAAGCGTTGAAGTGTGCAGCCTCTGCTTAGTCTTCTTCCCAGAACCGTCCGCCTCGTCTTTGTGCACCGGTTGTACACTCTTGTCTGTATCCCCTGAATTATTCACCAACGCATACGGCTCGAGCCTCCATTCCTTTCCATACCCTTCTGGTTCCATAATCACCCGGCTGAACGCCCCGTACACCCCATCGTCGAGGTAGTAGCTGTATGCCATTTCACAGTTACCCCCGTTGGTGCCCGCGTCTTCCATGGGACGACATCGTCGCCCTATAACGTGCGTTATCAAAGACGCGCTGTTGCCAACTAGCAACCTGCCCACGTCGACCGTCACCAGGGGTATGCGTGACAGCAGTCGTCTCAATCGTTCATGAATCGTTTCTCTTGCAACCATGTTTCTCAAGTCCATATTATGCCACAGCGATTCTCCGATATCCACAGCGATCGTTTCTTTCACAGAGTTGGGCACCGCCTCGAGACTTTCTTCGACTTCACCGACCCACGTCGAGATTCGGTCCAATATCTCTGAACTGGATGTTTTCACCGGCTCAGAGTCTACACCCACCGCGCAAATGCTCCTCATGACCCCCAACACCGATGAAAACAATCGATTCCAAG